GTTCGTGTTAAATACTTCTGCTATCTCCCGTTCCCTTTATTTACCTTTTTCCCACTTTAGCACGAAAGTTACAAAAACTTACTGATTCGATTGAAAGTTTTTGACATTTAGAAATGGACAATTTAATAAAAACAAATGAATTTTTATTCACTCTATAGACCATACACTTTTATATGTTACTTAGAATGCAGAAGCGATCAGTGCTATAATAAAGGTTGGGATAAATATCTGTTAAAAATGTATTTGTTGACAGCAATGCTCGTTAATAGCAAGTCGGTTGATAAACAGGGGAAAAATTGAACACAGAATTGAAATTATATGTTATTTTCCTTAAAAACTCAAATTAATTATGCAAATAATTGGTAAGAATATGTCTTAAAATCAAACTTTTACCCGCTGTGACATTTCCAGCCATTTTCAGGTTATCGTAGAATTTTCATGGTGCCAACATAAAATATATTACTTATAGAATACGTATATATTGTTGATTTATTCTCTTTCATAATCAGTATTTTACACAAAATGGGCCAGACATAATATAATCTTATTGTATTGGATATGCGCTGTTTTAACGCCTTCAGGGAAACGTATTCAAGTTTTAATATTCCAGTCTCATTGCGGATAACGACGTGTATTTGTTACAAAATACTCTCCCAAAACGGTTCCGTTATTACTCAGTATGCTTTCGTTATAATCCAATAATCTCGTTCTCTCGTGTAGCTACGTGTATAACTGACGACAAAATACTGTTAATCGGCTTTAATTTATGCTCTCATAATGCTATATTAATGCTCTCAAATATTTCCCATTTCATTCAGCTTGTACGTAAAGTTTCTATCTTATGATTAGATTTTTCCCCAGCTTATATTTAATACTAGCTTCTACCCGCGGCTTCGCTCGCGTTGAAGCTCTAAAATAAATATCTGTTTTTTTTAATAAAAAGAATCATATGTCCTTTGTATTGCCTCTAAGAATATGTGTATAAAGTTTCATGATAATCGGTTGAGTAGTTTTGGCGTGAAAGCGTAACAAAAAAACTGACATTCACATCTTTAATGCTACTACGGATATGATAATATATTGTGCAAGCAGTGAGACAAAACGAAAGAAGTAAAATGATTTGTTGAAATGGTAATACTTCTCTAAATTATTCTGCATATAAAAAATTCCGTATAATATTTTTAAGCATATAAACTGTACCATTTTCTTGGCCTTAGCTGTCTCTTCGTATTCATGCCAAGTTATGAAGTCGTGTATGGGCCAACAATATACGAGTTATTTTTATAAGAGTGCTTATAAGCAAACATGTAATTCAAGCAATTTGTTTGAGCGCGCGCTAGTTTCTGGTCTCGAACACGCGATGAATACAAATTTCCGAAAGCTGCGAAAACACTAGTCGTTTTAGTGTTCATAACATCTCATATGTCCAAAGTTTGACTCCATGCAATTGTAATTAAAAATAACTTTCTTTTTTACTTTTTTTTTTTTTGTAATTAAAAATAACTTTAGTGAAAGAGTTTACGAAAGTGGTTTTAAGTACAGCTGTCTTGCTAATTTTAAGAGAATAGACCAAAGTAAGCAAACGAAATACGACATTATAGATATTTCAACCTTCTGTGAGATGTGGAAGCCTGCCCATTTATTTGTAGACTTCTGTGTCTTACAGTTGTAGTAGATTTTATAATACTAGCTGAAGGATTTTAAATAGTTGTTCTTTAAGGAAATAATAGATATATAAGCATTGTATTCTGGTAACCTGATTTCGAACCGAGGCTAAATCTAATGAAATTATTATCACCAAAATACAATTTACAATCCAAGCGACTCGCTGCAAAAGTTTCATCACTGAATAGATAAAAGGGACTGTCTTGTCGTTTACGCTACAGTCGTTGTAAATACTGAAATCATGTATGCATCTAAAAATATAATTTTTATAAAAGTTATTCCTTACTCGTATCACAACGGTCGTCAAGTCTGGGGCGTAGGTAATGATTACATTACCTACGTCCCAGACTTGTCAAAACTATCTAAGTCCGGTGCAAACTTTTATTTTAATGTATATACATCAAAATTTAGTTAGTTGTAAAACAAGTTTTAGGACACTTTAAAATAGTTTTACAAGACATTAGATAACTTTGTCCACCACGATGTTATAGGGCCAAGCGGACATTGTTCTAAAAGCTCTCTACTCGGCCTGAGCTTCAAGGTCGGAATGAAATGACGATTCGGCTGCAGGTGATAAATGTAACTAAAATAAGACAATTCGCTTTTCTTTTAAAAACTGTTATACTGTAACTTGTATGACACATTGTCGAAGTGTTATTAACTTTGATGTACGCACGAAAAATGCAGCTGACATCATTTCAAGGGATATAATCATATACTTTCCTTAAATTCGTTTATAATGAATTCTTATTATTATGTCGTATACATATTATATTATATCATTTATACATTACATATACAATAACAAAAGAAGTGTCCCTGTGAAAGTAATCATGGTTCTACATAAGTTCTGATACTCACCGTTTTCTAATATATCTTGAGTAGTTCATATGAAACAAATACCGTAAATAGCGCCCTATTTAATAATTGGACGAACACTAAAGAATCTATTAATTTTAATCTTTCATAATCTTATGAAATCCCTTATGCTTACGTCAGCACGGACGGAGCCGTTCGCTTGGTAAAATTTCAATAAAACTGCCACAGATTCTCAATAACGTGCGTGTAATACGAATAATACGATTGGCTCTATAGCAATTTTAAGTGTTATTCCCAAGTTAACTCGATCTAGGAGGCAAATAACCATTGTTTTTTTCTGTTTTATACTGTGTTAACCTTTGTCGGAATATTCTAACATAGATTGAAAACAATTTAGGATTTTGAGGTCCAATAAATTACGTTTATAAGACTGTATTACAACTCATAACCGATAAATGGTATATAAATTTCTTACAGTGGTCTAGTTTTCCGTTAATGGAAGGGAATTTTAAACAGCGGGAATCCATACTTTCGTTATTTACATTCTCCGCTTTCGAACGAAGAGTTTCGCCACCTCTTTCGCAATCCGTAAATCAAAGTATTGTAGCAGATAGTCACCGTCGATTCTCCAATCATGCTATGTAAGTGTTTTCAAGGCATGATTTAATGCGCTGTTACTGAACTAGTGTGTTTACCATTTAATACTCAAGCACTGGTCATTCTATTAAGTAAAAAACATAACAAAGACATTATGTGTGTACTATATAAAGTATCATTTATTATAGAAGAGTAGATTAGTAGAATTTAAGAGTATTGCTACAGTACTTACAAATGAAAGTGCCAAGTTATAATATGGAATAAAGAGCGGCATGTAACGCTAATGGCAAAGAGCCAGAGTCCTTCTTGTGAAGCATGAATACGCCGAAGTTATTGCAAAGAACTTTAACTTAAGTTTAAAATTAATTTTAAAAGCCTTGGACTTAGAAACAATACCACCATCTTAGTCGTGGCTAGTGCATACGGCTGAGGATAAACTTGAAAGTTCTCAATACGAAATGCACGCCACAGGTTTTATTTATTTATTAACAAAGTAAATACAATTGTTTGAAAATACACTTAAAACCAAACTGAGAATACAATATGCTGGCGAATTTGCACTCATTTAGGTTGTTTACAATTGCATTTTGATATCTCTAAAATACACGAAACATGAGAGTGGCAGATAATGTTTATAAAGTTATATACGCAGAAATATCTTATAACATATCATGAAAGAGTTGTAACATAAATAAAACTTGAACTCTACATTTGACCCCCAAAGGATATAGTACGTGAATGTAAATCAGTTGCTAATCAACTAGAGTAGTGTTGTTAAATTTGTACGGCGGACCATTCGTTGCCTTCGCATGCTTAATTAATTTCTCTTCGGACATAACAAAGAGCTACATTAAAGCTATCGATGTTCACAGAATATACGCCCTTTAGTTGTTAGCGTAACGAATGTGTCTGGGAAAGCTCCTATTTGCTTCTGTGTTTACTATTTAGACGTGGATGAAGCTTTATGTGCCCGAGCTCGCCTTCGACTTCATTGTACTAGAGCAAACTTAAAATAAATCTATTGAAATTAGAAACTGTAGGTTGTTATTGAACGTGAATTTAGGTCCTAATACTGTAGGGTGATGTTGAATTTAGGTCCCAATTGATAAGTGTGTGTTTGGTCTACGATCTGAAGTGTCATGTAAACATACTTTCACAATTCAAACAAATACTTAGCTAAGTTATGTTATAACAACATGATGAAGTTGGTTGCCTCGCAAAAAGGTGTCCGTGGTAATTTCGTGAAATTGGTTTCGATAAAACTTAACAGTGTTGCCATTGCAACCAATAAAAACTTTTTGACATTTAAGAATAATTCTTTTTTTTTATAAACCGTTATCAATTGCATTTAATCTAAAGAGCATTAAAGCTAAAGAAGTATAACTTCTTACTTGCGAAAATAAGTACACTAACCCCTTTATATCCTTATTTTTAATTTTTGTGCCTGAGGGAGCATAAATATTATAATAAGTGATAAAAAATTAAAATAAAACATGCTGGTATTTTTCATGGCCCACGTGCAACCGTAAAACAATAACAGTAATCGTTATACATATGTATATATGTTACAGTCAAAAATCATAGCAGTCAAAACCATTATTGACTGACTTTTGCAGTCAAAAGTGGTTTTGACGGACTATGAGTTTGACTATAACATATACAATGAAAAAGATGTGTATTCCATAAGGTTACACTTAAGGTTAATAGAAAGATTTTAGTTTTTTAATTGAAACCTACGATTTTACTTAATGCGAGAATTCACTCGCAATTTTTATTTCAGATCGCAGCTGCGGAAGATGCTATGGAGCGCGGCTGCGGCGGTCAGGTGACGGGAACGGGTGCAATGGGATCCTCCAAGGGCTCGACCCAGAACGGCTGAGGCTGCGAAGTGTGAAGAGTGCGAACATATCGGGCGTAACATGGAGGTGAACGGGACGGATGCACGGGGCGAGGAAGCCGCTATAGCGTTGGTTCTAAGCGTCGCCGTCACCGTCATCTCCGCAATCGGTTTGCTGCTAAACGCTTACATTCTGTTCATCATCGTGATCACGAAGCAGGTAATTGGGCGCAGAGTTTTTGTTTCATAAGCCATCCGTTCACCTGGTTTAAATCCATGTACATCTACGAGACCGGATTGTCCATGGGATTGCAGCTGTATTGCCACTAACATGATAAAATCAAAAAAATGAATTTAAGGGGTAAATATATGGTACGTAAGTCAGGTATATGGTCAGTTACTTTTCAAGTGCAATAGGTAGCAATGAAAAAGAATAAAATATCTTGACCATGTGTCTCAATGAAAGATTAGAGGTAGAAACTACAAGAAAATTCTTTCGATAAATTGTATCTACTTACCGCTATTAAAAAAGGAGACCAGCTAAATTCCCGCGTTTTCTACGCGTTTCTTTCTTTAAACATATCTTATAATGTTTTATTTTTCTGGTTAGCTTCTGTGAAATGTTATGTTAGCAACGTATTATCTCAAGATGTTTTCATGATATATAAAGTACGAAAACGTAAGAAATCATATTTTTGCGTTTGTTGAGCCTATCAGCCTCATTAGAACTAAGTACTTAATTGCACTTACTAGTCATTTCATGTTTGAATGAAGTTTTTGTTACATTGTTACATCGTCTTAAATAATTATGTTTATCTCATGCGAGCCGAAATGAAGCCCTATACCAACCCTTCAATAACATTCACCACAAAAAATTGCAACTTTTTAAGTAACAATGAACAAAGGCTCCCCTTCTGTACAACTGCGGGCGTCATCCGCCCTAAGATGACGTAACAATGTAACTGCACTTAAAATTCCATTGCGACGCTAACGATGCAATAAAACAAACCAGCAAGTGGTTACATCTTAGTACAGTGGCAATCAACAATGGAAAACGGACTAAAATTGAGCGAACAAAAATAAATTACTCTGTTTTAAAATGACGTCACAACTTAATCGGTGAGCAGATTATTGTTACTGTACAAATTGAAAAATGCATTTTGAATCAAAGGAAAAGAAACGAATTAATCCTTACTAATATTATAAAGGCGAAAGTTTGTAAGTATGGATGGATGTTTGTTATTCTTTTACCCAAATACTAGTGAATGGTTTTTAAAGAAACTACAATAATATAGCTTATACATCAGCATGAGAAATAGGCTATATATATATATATATATTTTAAGTAAATCTGTCTCTCTGTCTGAATGTTACGCCTTCAGCCTATTCTACGCAGACGTAGTCGCGGGCAGCAGCTAGTTAAAAATAAATCTTTCACAATTAATGCACTGATTAAAAAACTTTGTTGTTTAACGTAAATTACATCTAGTAAGGAAAAGGAGCTTCTTGTAATTTGCAAAGCGGTGGGTCAATTTTCCTCTTGATTTCATACTTTGGAGGTTTCATTTAATGAGAGATTTCAATAAGAATTTGTAATGACAGGGAAAACAATTTGTTTTTTACTAAAACATTTATGGCGTACGGGTAATTTTGATGTAAGAAAAGTACACGTGCCGAAAATGTGTTTAAAATTATCTTTGTAAAATAATTACATCAAGTATTAGATAAATATTTTAAATTAGTGCTAATCGACGCTAATAGAGGAGAGTAACCAAATATGGGCTACCATTTTGTTTTTGCCTCAAAAATAAAAAAAAACTTAAAAAATTAACCATTTATTGACGTCAAAATAATTACACATACATTTTTAAAGAACTAATTAACAATCTTAAATTCTTAATATTATAATATATTATTAAATTGAGCATTAAAAAAAATATCAAAATAGGCGCTAAATATGGAACAGGTACTCAAATATGGGCTACAGATAGAAACTTCAAGTATCTTGTACAAAAATAACAATTATAAATATTTATCTTATAAGAGATCAAATTACTTTGGTACAAGAAAGAAATCACATAATTACTTACAAAAATCACATATCCAGGTATCAAACTCTGGCCCAGCACAGTCATTAGGTATGTGCCCAGAGTTTACACATTAAACATCTGACCCACAATTCTCCTGCCGCGTTTTCGGAAAAAAGTTCCTGACAAAACATACACGCTGCGTCGGCAGTGCCAGGAGCCTCTCTTCCTATAGGGGATCTCAAATGGGATATCAAATTGGATATCTTCTTCAACTTCAAGTTCGTCCTTGGCTTTCTTATTTCCTATACTTCTTTGCTTTTGCTTGGGTTTCTCATCTTTTATTTTATTTTCTTTTTCAATTTTCTTCTTATTTGTTTGAATAAGGTCATTTTTATATGGAGACGAAGTTATAAGCGAGGCCAAAGCAGCTTTTCTACCTCTATTAGTTGTCTTTCTGACTTTTTTTGGAATGGGACTTATGTCATAAGGTGATACTAAACCTAGAATGCTACGATGAATTCCGGAAGACTAAGGTTGACAGTTATCTGTTGGATCATGTCCAGTTCCAGAAGTAGATTCTTCTGTTTGAGTCTCAGACCTTGACCATAGCCCATGTTCAGGACCATAGTCACAGCCCATATTCGAAATTCTTTACTAAAATCAACTTAATCATGTACTTTACAAATCATAATAGCAAGCAATAAATCGACCGAAAATCATAAAATTAAACTTATATTCTGCAATAAAACACATAGTTATAGTATTTAAACCTAATTTTCATTCATTAAATAATACATTGATACGTACTGCAGAAAATTTTTCGACAGCAGCAACACAAGTATGGCCGACACTGGCGACAGCTTGCGCGCGAATGACGAGAATGAGTGAGTGTGATATTAGAGGGAATGAATACGATAGACGATCAGCGTTTGTTGAGTCTTTCGATTGTAGGTTTTCGAGAATTGTTACTAGCCCATATTAAAGCACTAGCCCACATTTAGTTACTCTCCTCTAACGTATCAACTTCAACCAACACAATTTCATCGTGAAAACATGATAAAATTTACACGTATTTCCCATAGCCCCGAAATATATTTGGGCATTATTTTATCCATTCAAATCACAATCTCTTTTCCTAGTATCTAACGTGGAGCCCTTTGCTCTACAATAATTTACAATAAAACTACCTTAGTTACGTCATTACAGCACAGGATAATGTTATCCTAAAGTAAGGGCAATATTTATCAACATATTACATATTACATACATACATACGTATTTTATCTACATTGCTTTTTTTTTCGCATTTAAAGCATATTTTTCTATTAATTTTAATACCTTTATGTTTAAGTAAACGGATTCCCGACAAATTACACTTTCCCATTAATATACGACATGGTATAAATGCATTCATTAATAATGTTTTATTATCCCCAGATCGTAAATACTCCAATTTCCGTTTGAAATGAACCAACTGTTCAGTTTCAAAGCGGTGCATACGAGTATGTTTACGGCGTTGTGTAAACTAACAGTGCACAAAGGTGGAATTATTCGATGTAATACTGAGTGTTACGAGTATATAAAATTTCGCTAATGTGTTTTCAGTGAATTGAAACTATTTTCGGTGTTATCTCGCTTGATTTACGAGTCTAATGTTGTAAGCGAATTAACGGCGTCGGTTTAGGAGAATTTCCTTCGCCTGGCTTACATGTATTCTGCTAGCTTGCTAAACAATAGCTTCAAGAAATCATTTTCAGACTAATAGCCTTTATTCCGTCACTCCCCCATAAGCTGTTTTCATAAAGTTTTTACAAATGGACCTTTGAAGTCGGCGCCTGCCTGTTTCGTGGTGGGACTACACAAGCAACACAAGTCCGAGCGCCTTGCTCCTGCTTCTAATTGACCATTGCGACTTTCGTACTATCAGTATAACTTATGTACTTTCACACTATTTTTTTATGTGAAATGTTGCCAAGCGTGCTGGCGGTTCACCTGTCAAGTGAATACCGCCGCCCATGGACATCTGCTACACCCGAGGGTTGCAGATGTGTCAACGCCTTGAAAATTGGGCTCCGGCCACCTCACTCACCAGACGAAACGTGAAAGTATTATACTTCCACTTTACCAGGTCTTCTGTGAGGTCGTGGTTCTTAGCCTGCCCATTCGTGCAACAGCCGAAGCTGCTATATGGGCCTAATATATATATATATATATATATATACTTTATACTAATAATTCACTTGTTCCTAATCATCACCGTCAGAATGCTGCATCACATCTCCTCTTTGCAGCCGGCGTCCGCGTCTTCCGTGCTGTTGATGCATCTGGGTGTGGTGGGCGCGTTGGCGAGCGGTGTGACCCTCTGCGGTGGCGGCGGTGCCTGCGCGTGCGGTGCACTCCTTCACGCTCTGCACCCGCTGCAGCTGTGGACAGTCTGCGGTCTGCACGCGGACCGCGCTGCGGCCATCGCGGCGCCTTTGCACTACGCCGCGATAGTCTCGCCCAGGAAGGTGAGAGCGTTGACGAGGGTCTATAAAACTGATCTATAGCTTTTGTCGATCAAAAATGACGCAAGAAGTCATCCTTATCTTTTATGGCTGAGGACTTTTTTTAATAGAAATGACAGCACAAAACAAAAGGGACGGCCAACTTGTACGTGTTCTGTTTTGTTTCAGGTATTAATTTGCGTCGTTGGTGGATGGATGGCTACTGCGGCACTGTTAGCTCCGTTAGCTGTCGCTCAACCGCCGCTTACCTACAGCATGGGCCTCGGAACTTGCACTCCCGACTGCGGCGCCGGTGCCTCGGCATTGGGATTTTGTATTATGTACTCCGTGTTAACATTGTTACTGCCCACCGCACTTGTTCTACTATGCAGTATGAAAATTCTTCGGATCGCCCGTTACCACCGGCACAGGATCGCAGCGGCGATTTACGAAGTGACGCTGTCTGCGCAAGTAACGGTGACTCACCAGCGCAACCCCTTCTCCCCTCCACCCCCACCACGGCGCCGCGCACTGTCCGCTGTGCTGCAGCCCCTCGGTTCACTGGCTCTGTTGTATTTTCCATACTATTGCATTTTAAATTGGCCGGCGATCGCGGTACCGCCGCAACCGTTAGCCGCAATATCAGCCACACTCTTGGCGGCGGCCCCACCGGTCAACGGCGTGCTATACGGCATCCGCAGTAGAGCGCTCAGGGAATCGCTCCGAAATTATAAAAGGAAACGACTGACGAAGAGTGAGGTGACCCAGGAGATCCAGGCTCGGACACCGAGCGCCTGTGGGTCTCGGAGACCTTCCTTGTCAGCGGGCTCGGGGTGCATCAGGCCGCCCACAACGAGGCGGCTTTCGGATGCCGCGGCGATGGGAGCGCGCGGCTCGGAGAGGCCGGCACAGCGAGCTGCTTCGTGCAACATGTTGCAGGATCCGCAGGAGGAGGACTATCCGCGTTCTAGGGCGTCGGCTATACCGCTGATCCGGGCTCCGCCGCACGTGGTGCTAGGGCGGGCGCTAGGTCTGGAAGAGGGCATCGGCAGGGACCGGCGGCGACGTCAATCGCCACGAATCACCGTCACACGGGCGATGTCTGACGAAAGCGACTCTCCTTCTAGACGGCCGCTTTGCCGGCAGCAGTCGCGCTCAAGCGGTGCCCTGCTTGGCACCATGCCATGCTCCCGGGTCCTGACGGAGAAAATTCAACTGGAAAATCCGCCCGACGAACAACTCCTGCTCTCTTGGCCTCAGCACGCCGTCAACAAGCACGAGGTTTTATAAAACGGGTGTATCGTTAGATTAAGTATCGCTTTAAAAATATATCATGCGTATAAAGACAATAACGCGCGTAACGTACGGTTCTAAGTCGAGTTACTCCAAATTGATATTATTATTTTTTAAAACGCTTATAAATCAACGTCTACTCGACATTCCCGACCAAACAGTGACCAAAGATAAATGTATCCTAAATATCTATTTTCTACTCTATCGTAGACGTAATAATTTACTTACAGGGTTCCTCCATATCGTTAGCTTTACCTACTGAAGTATTACTTTAGAGTGTACACCTGAACAAACTATCGCAAATATTCCATAGTTTTAAGAATGATTTGATGAAATTTCGAAATATATATTTTTTGTTATATAATTTTAAAATAAGTATTTTTATAGGAACTAATGCTATAAAGAATACGCGAGCATAAAAAAAAACAAAAATGTATACACTGAACTGGAATACTTGGAATTAATAAGCATATAGCTAGCTTTATTAAGGTCATTATATGAACGAAACAACGCTTTTAAAATTTTGCCGCCGTCCAGACCGCGTAAGGAATATTCCTAAAGCTTTTACACCTGTTGTTCAGTTCTTAATAAGCTTCAAGGCTTTCAGACTACAATTTTCAAAAATATATTTCTAATAAATTGATCTCGATGCCAAGTACATTACATACTTACATTTAATTTATTTATATTTTTATCCGACTTGCCAATTACCTACTTTTAATTTTAACTTAATCAAAATCAAAATGAAATAGAACCAGATATCTTGAAAACGTTAACATTAATTATTAGTTTTAAAGAGGTGAAAATTTAGAAAATAATGCATCATAGACAACTATTAAAGACTCCAGCTGATCGCAGTGGAAAATACTTTTGTTTAAATTTGGGCAGGCGTTATAAGATATCGATTAGTATTATATTTGACTCACTGGAGAGGCATTGGCAATCACTTATTACTCCAGTTCAGTTGTCATTTTGTCTAGTCTATAAAATCGGAGTAGCTATCTATTAGTACATTACAGGTTTTCCTTTTCTCCTGGGACAATTTGTTGCGGGTTTTCCTTTCGTTGCGGGGATAACACACCGTAATTTTGTACAAAAAATCTTTATTTTAAACGCTCATATTAAAGGACCGGAATATAATGTAGGCGTCCGTGATTTCGCCCCTTTTCGACGCAGAAATTCATAGACAATTTCAGGATACTATTAACCTTGCGTGCTATCATATAAACCTTCTGCTGGTTGGCATGCCCGTCTCCTTGATTAAAAAGCCTAGAAACAGATACTGTAAAAATCAATGTATATCTAAATTTGCTATGCTACAGGGGTAATCAGAGGCGGATTTGTAGTCTTAGCCGCCGTAGGCCTTAGCCCATGTAGTAAGATCCAGCCGCCCCTTTCTAAGAGCCCATCATATATCTTGTTATCATCAGTGAATTTTTTGTCACGATTGACAGTGCCTAATATGCAGTGGTCGCCCTAGGTTCGGGCCTATTAGGCCTTAGGGCAAATCCGCCACTGAGCGTAATGGGTATTATCTTGAGCATAAGCTTACGTAGTCATTGTAATTAGTTCGGTACAAAAGCTTTCCTTGTAATTTGTAATTCTAAGCTGCAACTAGACATTTTCCGTAACAATAAAATATATATCGCAATTTAAAAAAGGTAAATAATCATAAATGAATTCTAGGTCGGTAGTATCTAATGAAACTTTATTTTTTTCTTTGAAAGCTATCGTTTTGAATAACTTAACTTTTTAATGTCATGAAAGAAATATAAAATAAAATGTAAAATGGCAAATTTCCCCTATTATTTACGGAGTCATTCACGAAAAACAAATTAATGGCATTATGTTAATTAGAAGCGCTGTAAATTTTGTGATAGGTATATTTTTCAGATATCCAGATATTCTAGAAATTGTTGTTGAAAAAATTAAATTATATATTGTAGTAGTTAAAATAATTCTATAATTGTACATAACTACAAAGTATATAAAATTGATTGTTTTCTATTTATATGAAATAGATAAAACTAATAGAAATTAATATCAAAACGAATAAAGGAATATATATATGTTGAAAACATTAGTTTTCGCTCTGAAGGCAAATGAAAGTCCTATACGGAAATTTGAATTGAATTATCCTCGAAGTAGTGCAATAAGTTTGCACTGGAGTAAATAAATGACCATTTAGTTCCAATCTCAGATAAAAAGTAGAGAATAAGGATTAACTAGAAAACGATTTCACATTTTCCGTAACATTCCAAGATCGATGTTTATTATTTGACCCGTAGCCTCTTAGCGTTTTGAGAAATTGTTATTATAATGATAATTAGTACTTTACATTGAGTAATTAATGTTTATAAAGATAAGAAGAAATGCGTGAGTGTCGTCAAACACTCGGTTGGAACGAAGTTCCTTTCGTTGTATATTGTTATTAACAAACGTATTTTATTTACAATAACTTAAAAATGTTATCACCTGTGCCAGTACTTTGTAGAAAAGACATTAAATGCAATTGATGATGGTTGAATTAAATAACTTGGAAGCAAAAATTTGTTATCGGTTGTCATAGTATTTTCGTGACGGAATAATTCGTACACGTTTTGCGTAAAGGAACTTCGTTCCAAAATACCGCTTTATTAATTATTAAGAAATATCATGTTGAATTTCATGTCGTTGAAAATAGTAAGTGTCAGAACGGATATCTGCGTGATTCCTATAGTGAAAAATGTTTTTGCTACATTTTAATTGAATCGGAAGAATTTTATATCTGAGTTTACGCTCGTCAATTCCAAATGAGCACATTTATTATTATGGGACACCCGCATAGAAGAAATGTTAATCTAGTCAAAGAGCTGTTGTTTATAACATACGTGTTGATTTAATTTAAAGTTTAAGATGAATTGAATAAAAGACCTGAAATTATATTTGTTTTCATTTTCTGAACACTGTTACATCCCACTGGTGAAACAGCATATGAAGAATCGCAAAATGTTTTATAGGTCCTGAGTCATAAGCATTCTTTGAAAAGCACTTGTAAAATAGACGTATAATAACTAGATAAGGTGAAGAACTTACCTCGTTTTCAAGTCTTCCCCCTAATGAGAAGTCTTACTAATGAGAAAATGACAGTAAATTTTTTCATCTGCAAAGAGGCAAAATGCGTCTACCACAATGTACCCGTTGTATAGAGTAAAATAATGACGTAATATAATGATGTGTAAGTAAAATACAGATAATAAATATATTGACTGCTTCTGGCAGTAGTGCATAAATAAATCGCCGTCCTTCGGATATACTTCAAATTTTATTGTAACGATCGTAAGTGGATCCAAGTCGGTATCATGCCAAGGCTGAAGTAACTAATCAATGCCACTTAAAATATATCTAACCACAAGCTTTGTATTCGTAAGTTATTTCGGATCGTGGTTAAAATTATGCTATGGCTTACCATTGTTCCATCATCAACAAACAATACTGCAATACTTTTTAGCATAGCTTGTACTATGGGTAATAGGTAACTGGTAAACATACCTTAAATGGGCAGGCTCATCCGGGGGTACTTACCACGGCCTCACAAAAGTCCAGCGTGGTGTGAAAGTATTATACTTTCGCGTTTCGTCTGGTGCACGAGGTAGCCAGGGCCCACTTTTTAATGAGATAACCATGGGTCACGGTAATCACTTTACATCGGGTGAACTGGTTGTTCGCTTGTCAACTTTTCAAATAAAAAAAAGAACTGGAAAACATGTTCAAGCTACAGTACTATTCTAAAAGTGGGGTTCAAACCCACACGCTCGCCCAAGCGAAAGAGAAAGGTTGACTATCCACTAAGCTATGTCCGTTTACAGCAACAGATGAATTTGATTAAAGGAAACTTAAATATTTTAACCAGTTTTGATCTAAGATAGCTTTTATATCACTTGAAAAGTCTCTTAAACAATAAAACATTGTACTTGAATAAAGACATGACAAGACATTTATATCATTTAAAATCTAAACCCATAGATATTTTCTTTCCTCAATTTTTTTGTGGTTTTCATTTTTTTTGCATTCCTAAAAATGTTATTTAAGAATGACACCTGATTAATTCTTTGAGTTATATTCTGAAATAACTTAAATAACCAGGGATTGGTAAGTAGTAAGACGCGAGGTCTAAGTTTACTTGTCAATCAATTAACGTTTCTTATTCCATATAACCGTTGGGGAAGAAAGGTTGTCGAGTGGCAGCCTCGTACTGGCCATCGCAGTGTGGGACGACCCCCCATTAGAGTGACGAACTGTGCAAGTGTACGGGAAGTCGATGGATGCAGATGGCTCAGGATCGTGCTTCGAGGCTGTCTGTGGCGAAGGCCTATGTTCGGCAGTGGACTCAAACAAGCTGAAATGATTTATTTATTTATTTATTTTTTGTTACACCAACAAAATGAACACTAAATTTAGACAATTTAAAGGTAATGTTATTAACAAAAAGCTTGCTGAGTGCCATCTCAATTATAGGTGCAAACCACTATGCTTTAAATTTAACAACACAAGATCTTAAAACTATTTGTGCGAAAAAAAAAACAACACTAAATATAAGATAAAAACTCAGCGAATAGAGAGTAGAATGAAATTTGCAGCATCAATGTTAACAAAAAAAGTTAATCCAAAAAAGTAATCAAGAGTTTAAAAAAAAAAAAAAAGATCAAAAGAAGAAAAATAAACACAAACATAAATAAACATAAAAAGTTAAATCAATTAAGGGCCTCACGTACATATTTTTTAAATTTAAAATATTTGTTTGAAAAAATATCAATATCAAGCTCGTTATTACTGGTTCTCACAACATTTATAAGTTCATCAGTTTTTTTAGGGGACTCATTAACACTAGAATTATGTAATGTGTTGTATGTAGTCATTAATCTGTTAAGAGGTGAATGTAGACCCAAGTTTGTTCGCGCTGCCTTAGTGCAAAATGGTTTATACTTTCTATATCTAGGAAGTCTTGAAGGTAC